AATGGTTTCATCATCTTCAGAATACATAATTTTAGTAAGAGGACTATGGAAAAAATTTTGTTTAAAATATAATCTTCTAAACTAACCCTATGTTATTCAGGACTAGCCAGAAATGTTTAACTAAGTCAGTCTAATTCAATGAACTTCCACAAAAAATTACATCAGTTTTAAAATGGAGTCATGGGTTACCCTAAAGGAAAAACAGGAAGAACATTTCAGACTGGTAAAATCAGAATCAGATTAGACAGGAAGAAAAATTCAGATGTTCCCTAATCTGATAGGCTACCTCTTAAAAATAGCCATGCTTTTTCACTGCAGTATTTTATTTGAATGGTAAAGTACTTCCAAATTTTGATCACAGACCCATCGGTAACACAGCAGCTATGCCCTCAAACAATAACTTATTTCCTCTCAACCAAAGCCATTTTAAAGCCGTTTTTTCAACTTAACTATTACATTAGCATTGTCCCTACTAGGGAAGCTGTAGTTATGCTATTTATAACCCGACACAGAATCAGAAGAGTTGATGTATATGTACAATAAAGAGTTTTAAGGTTTTAATTACAAGCATAATACTATATTGCTCATTACAATACTCAGAGTCTTTAAAAACATAAAGCAAAAGTTTCCTTTTGACTCTCCTAAATCCCACTTCCTTGCCCAGAGGTAATCAATGGTAATTGTTTGGCATATGTATTTCCAGACATCTCTCTACCTACCTTTATGCAGAAAATAAATTCTGTAGGAAGTGAGCTGGTGTTAGGTGCTAAAAGAATATGTAGAAGAGCGTGAAGGGCTAAATGAGGGAAAACATCACTGAGGTGGTAGCTTTTGAGTAAAAACCTCACACTGAAAAAGCTAACCTTATGAATGAATCAGAGAAAAAAGTCAAGGAAAAAGTCTAAGGTAGGACTGTATCTAATATATTCAAGACACAGCCAGCCAGTGCGGCCTGAGCAGTGTATGGCAAAAAGGGGTGCAAAAGATTATGTAGGAAAATCACAGAAAAATTAACTTTAGTATTGAAATAGGCAGCCATCAGGTGAGTTTATAGCTGACACTCTTTTAAGCGATACATTTTAACAGCACCAATCTAGCTACTACTTTGAGAACAGACTAGCGTGGAAGGGCAAAAGAAATGTAAATATATTGTAATATGGCACAACAGACAACAGCGATTTCAAATTCAACTAATTTACAGCAATATGAGTGGTGGTATGTTTTCAAAAAGGTGACAACACAATTTTCTAAAAAGCTAAAGGTGAGGTATGAGGGGAAAAAAGCAAAGGATGGCTAGCCAAAATCTTCAGCCTATGTGACATGAAAATTGGAGTGTCCTTAAGTGAAAAAGGCAACAGTGCAAAAGAAACTGGTCTGAGTTTACAAGAGCAGAAGCCCAGTTTTGTACTTTTAGGCTGATAAAACCTAATATTCAAAGGAGCTCTCATGTAGGTAAGTAACTGGGTATGTCACTCAAAAAAGAAGTCTCCAGGCTATTAATCTAAGTCATCAGTTTATACGTAGTATATAAAATCATGTGACTGAATGAAATGACCTTAGCAGTGTACATGGAAAAGAGATGTGCAAAGACTGAACCACAGGGCACTTCAACCAAGTAGAAGGAAATGCTAGAAACATACAACATAAAGCTGGACACAATCTAACAAATGTTTCAAGGTAAAACACTGGTTAAACGGCATCAATAGGTCTGAAAAAGGACCACTGGACTTACTAACACAACCCTCTGGGTGTTTTTTTTTTTTAAACTATAAATACATTCATTTGATACTGTCTCACTCTGTACCAAGAGCTGGAAGGCAGTGGTGCAATCATAGCTGACTGTAACCTCAAATTCCTGGGCTCAAGTGAGCCTCCTGCCTCAGCCTCCCAGAGTACTGGGATTATGGACGTGACCCACAGTACCTGGCCAATTTCTTTTTCTTCCAACTACAACTCACTTCTAAAATGTGTTCACTTCCCTAAAACCATGCCATCACACTCTGTAAAATTACACCACAACAATTTATCATCTTGCACACACCTTCACCTTCACACCATCTTAAGGTGCTGGGAATTTAACGAAAAATGTATCAACAGAATGTTTAGTTTTTAAACTCTTAAATAAAATTCCAGCCAGGCATGGTGGCTCATGCCCGTAATCCTAGCACTCTGGGAAGCCAGAGTGCCGGAGGACTGCTTGAGCTCAGGAGTTTGAGACCAGCCTGAGCAAGAGTGAGACCCCGTCTCTACTAAAAAAAATAGAAAGAAATTAGCTGGACAAAATATTTACATATGTATATAAAAATTAGCCAGGCATGGTGGCACATGCCTGTAGTCCCAGCTACTCGGGAGGCTGAGGCAGGAGGATTGCTTGAGCCCAGGAGTTTGAAGTTGCTGTGAGCTAAGCTGATGCCATGGCACACTAGCCCAGGCAACAGAGTGAGACTGTCTCAAAATAAATAAATAAAAAATAAAAATCCAACGTAGTTTTTTTCTTTGGGACTTTTAACCAGAAGCTAGAAAACCAGGAGTCATATCAAATCTTACTCTTCTTGTCCACCATACCATACCAATAACCAACCTCCTCACTCTCTAATCTCATTATCTTTGTCCAGACTACATTATTATTGTTCCTTGGATTTTAATAGCTTCCTTATTTATGCCCTACTTCCAATCTCGCTTTCTCTAAGCCATTTCCACACTATTAGAATGACAAAAAACAAAGGCTGGGCACGGTGCCTCACGCCTGTAATCCTAGCACTCTGGGAGGCTGAGGTGGGCGGATCGCTCTAAGGTCAGGAGTTCTAAACCAGCCTGAGCAAGAGCGAGACCCCGTCTCTACTAAAAATGGAAAGAAATTAATTGGTCAACTAAAAATATATAGAAAAAATTAGCCAGGCATGGTGGCGCATGCCTGTAGTCCCAGCTACTCTGGAGGCTGAGGCAGGATTGCTTGAGCCCAGGAGCTGGAGGTTGCTGTGAGACTCTGTCTCAAAATATATAAATAAAAACCGAAAATCTGATGTCACTTCCCAGTTTATAATCTTTCAATGGCTCAACTTTAGTTTCTGAATAAAATACAAACTCTTTGGCAATGGCATTCAAATTTTTATGATCTGGCCTTAACCCTAAGATTGAGTTCAGTGCACTTCCTCTTAAAAAGAATCCTCTGTGCTCTTACTGTCAGTTAGGTACCCATTTCTGCGTGCTTTTCTTTTTGTTAAAAGATGTTGTCTGTTGTCCAGGCTGGAGTACAGTGGTTATTCACAAGCACAATTATCACACACTACAGCTTCAAACTCCTGCCTCACAGGATCCCGTCTCAGCCTCCCAAGTAGGGGGGACACTACAGGCACACACCACTGTGTCCTGCTTACTTCTGCATGCTCCTACAGGATCTGCGCTTACAGCTAATCACATGGTGACATTATCTCATTCATCTGTCTCCCTCACTAGGCTGTCCCTTAAAACATAATGAACTATTATAGTTTAAACTATTATTATCAATTTTTTTTTTTTGAGACAGAGTCTCACTTTTGTTGCCCAGGCTACAGTGAGTGCCGTGGCGTCAGCCTAGCTCACAGCAACCTCAAACTCCTGGGCTCAAGCGATCCTCCTGCCTCAGCCTCCCGAGTAGCTGGGACTACAGGCATGCACCACCATGCCCGGCTATTTTTTTGTACATATACTTTTAGTTGGTCAATTAATTTCTTTCTATTTTTAGTAGAGACGGGGTCTCGCTCAGGCTGGTTTCGAACTCCCCGACCTTGAACAATCCGCCCGCCTCGGCCTCCCAGAGTGCTAGGATTACAGGCGTGAGCCACCGCGCCCGGCCTTATTATCAATTTTTTATATCCCCCAAACAGGAGAACATAACCCATAACATAAGGAATTTATAGAATTAACAAGGAATGAATCAAACTGGACCTACAGTGAATAGCTTCCACACACTGACAGATAGCAGCAGAAGAAACAGCTCTCATACAACAGAGGGCATCAATAAAACTTGCACCTAAAGAATTCCTCCTCTACATAACCTCAGGACTTTCTCCTATTCTGTTTTTAGTGTACCTTCAGTGTTCACTTTAGATTTTACTCTTTTGGCCTAAGGGAAGGGACAAGTATGTGATTTACCCTAGTACCACAGCACTTGAATATGCCTTTAAAAACCATTCTAATTATCCCCCAGCTTGAAATCTACTACAGCAACTCTTAAAATGGTTATCAAAATATTCTGCTGTAATAAATAAAATACTACAGGTTGCTAATATTCTTAAATCTTTGGCTATCCATATCCTTAGTGACCTTTACATTATTCTCATGAATATATAGGATTCATCCCTTCTTATCATCCTCAGGGAACACATTAGATTCCCCAATATCTATTCATACCTGGGCCTCAAGTCAACATCATAAATGGGGTCAGCCCTAGAGCCTTCCTAATTTGGATGCAGAGATTAAGCAGATTTCCCTGCTTTCAGAGGTTAAAAAACTACTTTTTCTCAAATTTTTAAAAATCTTCCAATGAGATAGCATTTCAATATTATAGCATATCTAGCATAGCTCTAGCTTGTTTTGGTTTATGGTAAATTTTAGTAAATCTAAATAGAATACAATCCAGAAATGAAACCCAAGGAAGATTACACTAAATGACAGAAAACTGTCACTCATTTTTAATAATCTAAGAAAAGGGACTGCCTAATTCTGTCCTTGTATTGTTGCTAATCATTAAAACAAGCCATTTTCATGTTCAAGTACAGATAAACTTCAGCTGATCTTTCGAAGTATCAAAAAATTCTCCAATCAGCTCAAGTTAACTGGAAACTCATTATTCCATTATTTTACAAATAACTGAGGTGGTCTCCCTTGTGAAACATCTCGAGGTATACATATAAAAGGCTTAACCCAAACACCTCCAGAAGCTATGACCTATACCACATCAACTGAACTCAAATGTGTTTATTTCCTATCTTTGTAATGAATCCAAGTGGACCTCACACCTCTTACCATCACCCAGGAAGGGTGTGCATCTGTTCCGAAGGCCCCCCTGGCTCCAGGTCATCCTGGCTGCTGCTGCTCCAGGCTGGGCATCCATGTTGCTGCAGCTTGTGGTTTGTGAGGGGTAGTGTACAGGAAAAGCAGGATGGGATTTCAAGGGAAACAGGAGAAAGATGGCTTTCTGGGAAAATGCCATCACTATCATAGGTGTTAAGTAGTAGTACCACACACATTTTATTGCAGCACAGTTTAAAAATTTAACAAATGAAAGATTAAAAATAAAAAAACAAAAATAAAAAAAATTAAAAATACAGACGTCCAGAGATGCTCTAAAACAGTTAAGTTAAAGATTAGGAAAAATAAGGTCATAGACTTAACAGCCAGTAAAATTCTTTCCAGTGTGGGGAAGGGGATGGGGGCAGGGGTGAGGTTGGGAGAGAAAAGGTTTAATGTGATCAATCCACTTAAAAATGCTAATGCCTTCGCTTTCTCTCCCAAGATGCAAAACTCCAAAGTCAATCAGGAGGCCGGAGAAATTCTTATGAACATTCAGAAAAACTCGATTTTAATCCGGTTAAAAATCATCAGTGTCATTATCATCATCATCATCACCATCATAAGTATAATAATAGTAATAAATAATAGTAACTAGTAACAACAATAAAAAGGAAATCAGCGGAAAGTCAGGAAAAATGTAAAAAAAAAATTGAAATAACTTACTGTAGCTGAAGATCAAAAAAATCTCACTGTAAAAAAACAAAAATAAAAATAGCCCAGATTAGAAAAACGGGAGGTGCAAAAATGTCAAGTCAGTAAAGTTCATTTCTTTTCTCTTTCCAAAAGCAGTTTCCACAAAAACCGCAAGGATAAAGTTCTCAGTAGCAGACAAGCAAAGCCCTTTTCACATCATCAATCAATCTTAAAAATACACGAGGAAGTAGAGAGGTCAGTTTATAAGAGGCTAAAAGGCTCCTCCTCCTCTAACCCAACTGCTGCAGAAAAAATAGAAATAGAAATTTTAAAAATTACATCTTAAATCCAGGTCCCGTTTTTGGAAACAATTAAAAAAAAAACACCTGTACATTTGCCATAGTGCACACCAAGTTGCATCATTATGCTTAAAATGTCTTTATAAAATCAGTTTTGGAATGGGAATGTGTGTGTTCTGGAAGGGTGGGGAAGGGAAGTTAAAAATCAAAGCTGAGCTCCAGTGAGTAGGGATGGGGTTCGCCTTGCTGCCCTGTGAAAGGAGAAGGGACAGATTGAGTCAGAGTTCCTCAGAAATGTTGTGCCCTAAACCCCCAAGACAGAATTATCTGTCTGTTGCATCTAATACATTTTGGTAAAGCATAACATTCCACTGGGATGGGAAGTCTCTACAGAATCATCACCTCTACCAGTGAGTCTTCACAATTCTTCAACATGGACAGATGACTAAAATTAACTAAATATACTCAGTATAAGTATACCCTTAAGGGTCTCAGAAAAAAGTCTACATTCTAACACTCATCCTGATCAGCAGTTTGGGGCAAAGAAAATACAGAAAAACTAGGCCAATAAATAGAGATGAAGAAGTGAGCAAATGTCAAATATTGAGATTATGAAAGCAAGCAGATTCATGGGTTTTAAACTTTAAAAGTTCATGTAGTTTTTACTATGAGTAATAGACTGAAGGTCCATGGTCTACCATGAAGATATACACTAGAGATGATTCATCTATTCTCAGAACCAATGAGTGACCCAACCACAAGACCTAACAGATTTTACAGTAAGGGGAAAAGATGTTTTAAATAAGGAGCACACTATTCCACTGACAGAAAAAACACATACAGATGAAGGAAAAAAGATTAACTACCATGATTACTGAATATTTAATGTCATAAAACACGGGGAAAAAAATTGTGATCCTTATGGAATTTCTTATGTTTTCTGTGGGCCACTGTCTACCAACTAGTATATATAGCTAATTCCAAGAAAAATAATACACATGACAAACTGGCTGTTTCATCAGCTAAAACAAGAATTGTAATCGGACTATAGCTCATTGTGCAAGTAAGAATGAATTGGCTGCATTCACATTTCATTAAGCGCTGAAGTTTTATTCTCCTTTACAAATTTCATAAACTAAAAAGTATTAAACTGAGATTTTTACAAGTGTCCTCTGAGCCAACTATGTATATGTAACTACAGCAAAACAGGTACTGTAACTATGATTTAAACTGTAAATTTTTTTTTAAATAGACTAGTTTAAGCATGACATGTTAACTTGTGTTATCTGGGTAGTGTGGAACTGCAAAAAAATGTACATTTGAATGTTATTTCCTTTAAATTAGTGTTTAGGAAGTACAGTTATGATGGAATACTCAGTTTTCTTATTTGGATTAATAGCCTGAACCTAGTACTCTACATCTTCAGGTCTAGGTTAACTTTACAGCTCAACCACAAATGCCTCACACGTGTCCCACAAGACATAAGCTTAAAAAGAAACAGTAATGTGAAAAGAATTTATATCTTTCAATGTCAAGAAATTAAGATATCTCCCAAGATGTTAAGCTGATGAACTTCCACTCATAAAATAAGACCAAACAACTTTGCACCTAAATGTAATGGTTTTCAATTATGAGTATACCTAGATGATTCAAAGACATGATTTTTAAAAAAAGAGCACCCAGATACCCAAGCACCCCAAGATTATCCTGATTTGGATCTCTTCTTCTAAAAGGGTACTTCTGTGAGTGAGTTATGTCAACCAACAGCATGGGCATCATCAACTAGCCCTTCCGAGAGAAATGCAAATTCTAAGGCCCTACCCAGACTTACTCAATTAGAAACCCTGGTTGGTGGTGAAGATCTTAACAATCTGTTTTAACAAGCCCTCTAGCTGATTCTGGTCAGCTCATGTTTGAGAACCACAGTAAAGTTTTAAAAGCTTAAACCTTTCCATTCTCGAGTTAAGAATCAACTCTTTAAAACAAAATGCCTCATCCTTCCAATATATGGCAGATCCAAGATTGAGCACCAAGGCTTCAAATACTACTTTCCTGATACAACATAAATAATCCATGAACACTATAACCTAACATAGTAAATGCAAAGCAATTTTTTTCCATTTATAAACCCAATTCCCAGTATCAAAGATAACACCGGCAGTTAATGCTATACCTATCAGTTCTGGTTCTTGCCATAGACAACCCTGTAGTAAATCTAATTGTACAAAGCCATAATCTTCCCTGTTACCAATGAGAATAAATGAGTATACACATTAAGTATGAGTAAATAATGCTCCCAAAGACAACTACAAATAATATTACTTGAAGACTGAGTATTTCAGTTAAGGCAGTTAGCATTAATTACTATTTTAGAAAACTGCTTTTAATAAAACTACTTCTACATACTTTTCAGCCTTATGGCAACAAATAACTTGAGTTAAAAAAAAGAAGTCTAAGCCTCCTTATTTTATAGCTAAAAAACTAAAATCCAGAAGTTTAACTGATTTGTCTAACACAGAAAATGATCAGGAAGGATTAAGATCTAGACTTCCTAACAGGAGGCGAGGATTCTTTCATCTATTAACCTCTCAGTTAACACCTCTCACATTCACCACTTAATATAACTAAACCTGTAAGTTTGGTACAACTAGCTATCTGAGTTCATTCCTTGTTTCTAACAGCCATTCCATCCAAAACAGGGCTGAATGCTTTGTCAAAGCCTCTAGAGATCTAATTACAAACACAAGCTATGTTAACAAGTCCTGTTCTCTACAGGACTAGCAAACCACCATGTATGCCCAAATGGCACAAGCACGGGAAAAGGTCAGAAAACCTGCAACGTAGTCATCCTTAAATCCTTCTTCTTTAGCCAATGTGAAAATGCCTACCTAATTGAGAACATCTAGAATTTTCTGATATTAATTCTGTGGCCAAATAGTTCCTAATAGAGATTATGAGTTAATAAGGAATTTGTCACCCTGATGCATGCTGATCCCAGGGAAACAGTATTTCTAACACTTCACAGGCAAGAAAAGTGTCCTTAAATTAATGTCAACTCATCAGTACCTATTCTTAAATACTATTTCTGGCATTTCTTTGCCAACAATATTTTTACTAAATAGATGATTTCCTAATTGACAATTACTGCCCTTACCTAACTTCTGACAGTTCAGCAGAATAACAAACTTTAGTTTTAAGCCCATATAAAATACGAATATTTAGGCCTCAAAGGAGTGACAATGTTTTTGACCCTTATTTTATTTACTCTTGGCCTCAAGCCATCCTCCCACCTCAGCCTCCCCAGTAGCTGGGATTACACCATAGCATCCCAGGCATGAATTTCTTACCCAGTAGTACCGGTTTAAGCTGTGCTTGAAAACATGAGTTTTTGTGAGACTAGCACATTGTGAAAAGTAAAAAAAAAAAAAAAAATCAACCAAATCTTAGAGAAAGATTAACAAAAAAACCCACAATTTCCTAGATAAGTGACTGTGATGCTTCTTTAGAATCTATGTCATTTTTTTTAACTTGGCGAAAAATTTTAAAGACATTTCGGCACCTAGCAAAGAGTAGGCATTAGAATACCTGCTTAATAAAACGTAGATGTGCATTTTGCCAAAGTTTAGATAGACGGGAAAATTAATGCCAGAATATCATGAAAGTCAAATTTTTGTCACGTTGAGAAGATATGTTTATAACAAATTCAAGTCTCATAATTAAATATTTTTCCTAAATGCAGTGTGGGAATTTCCATTTACCTCGTGCTTTCTATAATCGAGTTATTGTAAAGATTAAAATATAGTACTTTTAGAACCTAGTATTCCAATAACGAGGTAAAACCACTTGCCTAACAGTGGTCAAATTCCTTTTTAGTTCTGCTACAGACTTAATACGACCCTGGCAATCAACACACTCGTGCCTCGGTTTCTGAAAAAGATAGTAATACCTACCTCAAGCAAAGTTCCACTAACTTATATATTTCTGTGTTTTGTAACCTGCAGATAAAGAGTAAGTCAGTTGTAATTATTACTGTTAATACAATTATATTACAATATTTCCTTTTACCAACAGAATTGAAAATACTTCGAGGTCCATCATTTGCTCATAGAGGAATAAAATAAAAAGTAATCAGTAAAATATTAAATCATTTGTTAAAACATTACTCTTACGCCATGCGTTACGCTTAGGAATTTAAACGTTCGCGGTACATCTACTTGATAACCCTCCCCCATCCCTCCCCCATTTTTAAATTTAAAAGAATGGAGATAATAAAAGGCATCGGCGCTCCATTAACTTCAGCTATATTAATAAGCATCTCGATGAAGTCCTCACGGTCCTCACGGTCGTAGAAAACCAAAGAAAAGCAGCCGTTAACACAGAAAAAGGGCGAAAAAAGGACATTTTCCCTGCCCATAGCGGCCTAGAGGACACTAGGTTAAGTCTACGCACAGGCTGAGGCCTGTAAAACTCTCTCCCGCTTCAGACCTAATCCCTCAATGCAAACAGAATAAATGAGGGCCTGGTTGGGGGGAAGGGTTCCCTCGTCTTCTCTCCCACACCATCTCGCGCCCGAGGAACCCAGTGCCTTCCCAGCGTCTGCCCCCTCCACTTACCAGGAGGGGGGAGGGAGAAGAGATTCGATTCTGAGTCTCCTACTCCCGGGTTCTACGTGCAGAAGCCGAGTGCTGCTCGAGGTCGACAACGCGGCCGCAACCGCTCAGTCTTCGTCTCTCCACAAAATGGCCCCCGAGTCTCCTCTGCCGCCGAGGCGAAGGCCTAGCCCCCGCCCCACTCCTGAGAACCTTCTCATTGGCTGTTCGTTTTCTCGCTCCTGCTCCTAATTAGACAGTTCTACCGCTCTTCACAATTCTGTCCAATCAGAATTAGCAGTGGGTTAGCCTAAGCAAGAGAATTTCCACATGCGTGAGAGAGGCTAGTTCATAACTGGTTATATTTCCTGTCATTTATCGCTCGAGGACTGCTTATTGGCCACTGTACCGGATGAAGTTCTGCGGGGGAAACTCGCCTTTGTATCGCGCACCACTTCACATCCGGGCATCCGGGAGGTCTGATTGGCGGCTGCAGTGTCCTATCTCTGCTCCTTAGAGGGTTTAGCAGAAGTTCCGCCCAGTTCTCGGAATTCCATGGGCGCGGGGGTGGGGTGGGGGTTGAGGCGTGTCGACTGGTAGCGAGCAAGCGCGGGAGCTGCCCTAGCTCCGGGCCTCAGAAAAAGAAAAAGCGCCGAATGAGGCCTGCAGCGTGCAGTATGGATAAAGAAAGGGATTTTTTTTCTCACAAGTTTTTATTTAGAAAAAGAAAAGACTTTTCTTAGAATTAGAAGGGAGCAGTGATGACTAGGCTGTGTTAAACTGTGTAGAAAACTAACAGGCCCTGCGGTTTTTCCAACCCCAGATTTCTTTTCAGTTCCAGACTCTATTTCAGCTGCCTCCTGGACATCTCCGCTTCTCAGCCTTTTCAGACAATACATACTGCACCCAAACCAACTGCCTTCCTTATTCCTCTCCAATACAAAAAAGTAAAGAAAGTATAAAATGCTGGCCTGGAATACTGCAGCGCCCATTATCTGGTCCCAAATCCTCTCACTAATATCCTACTTTCCAGCCAAATTTGCTTATCCCTCCCAATGTGGTCCCTTAATTCTTATTCTGAAGTGACTTGTCACCCACCTAACCCCTCCGGTAATCTGCTGCCAACTCCTTTGATTATATTACAGGAGCCTTTCACACAGTGGAGTGGGACCAACTAATTAAGAAGGGAATTTCTGGCCGGGAGCAGTGGCTCACGCCTGCACTCTGGGAGGCCTAGGGGGTAGGGGGGGGATTGCTCGAAGTTATGAGTTCGAAACCAACCTGAGCAAGAGCGAGACCCCCCCCCCTCTACTATAAATAGAAACAAATTAATTGGCCAACTAATATATATAGAAAAAAAAAAGTAGCCAGGCGTGGTGGCGCATGCCTGTAGTCCCAGCTACTTGGGAGGCTGAAGCAGCAGGATAGCTTGAGCCCAGGAGTTTGAGGTTGCTGTGAGCTAGGCTGACGCCAGGGCACTCACTCTAGTCTGGGCAACAAAGACTCTGTCTCAAAAAAAAAAAAAAGTATCTAGATAACGTAATTTTATTTGTATATGTATTTTTAAAGAATATATGTATATGTGAATGCAGTTTTTATGCAGTAGTTTTTAATTCTGAATTCTAGAGAGTCACAAGAAAGGTAGCCACCTTTGGGGAGAGGACCTTTTAACTTTTTTATTGGCACACTTTCTATACTGTTCAAATTTTGTTTTTTCTGTATATATGTACTGCTTTAAATTAACTTAAAAAGCAGAAACCAGGGCCCGGCGCAGTGGCTCACGCCTATAATCCTAGCACTCTGGGAGGCTGAGGCGGGAGGATGGCTCAAGGTCAGGAGTTCGAAACCAGCCTGAGCAAGAGCCAGACCTTGTCTCTACTAAAAATAGAAAGAAATTAATTGGCCAACTAAAAATATATATAGAAAAAGTTAGCGGGGCAGGGTGGCACATGCCTGTAGTCCCAGCTACTTGGGAGGCTGAGGCAGTAGAATCCCTTGAGCCTAGGAGTTTGAGGTTGCTGTGGGCTAGGCTGAGGCCATGGCACTCTAGACTGGGCAAGAGAGTGAGACTCTGTCTAAAAAAAAAAAAAAAAAGAGCAAAAACCAAAAAGCATAGAAGAAAAATATACTAAACTGTTAATAGTGATTCTCTCCTGATGGGGAAATTACACATGATTTTTACTTAATTATTTTGGGTTTTTTTTTTTGTATTTTCCAAATCGTCTGCTTTGAACAAGTAATCCAAAGAAGAACATCCTATAAGTGCTTGAAGCCTCAACTCAATTGCCATGTTGCAATTTATTTAAAACTGCTTCATACCACTGTGGTTAATTTTACACTCTTTTTCTCCCTTCCTGGATGGTAAGTTTTTTTAATGAGAGTTTAATTCTCACTCCTCTTTACATTTCTCTTGTGTACTGCCTGTTACATGGCCTTAAACAAAAAGTGTTTGAAATATGTATTAAATGAATAATTAACTTTTATTAATCAAGAGAAATTGTTATTTTTCCAGGACAAGCAGATGGACTGTCCTTTTCTTATTGTATAGTTTATCTGGCACTGACGCAGAGAGGCCTAGAAGCTGTGAGGCTTGGTTGACACTAATTATGTAATTCTTGACTTAAGAAAAAAAAATAAAACTGACATGTTTTATAACTCACTGTGCTTATAATATAAAAATGTCTACAAGATGTTAATGAAAACTACCTATTTTCATTTTACCAGAAATCAATTTTACCGTATGGTCTATGTCACATCCTACGTATTAACCAGCACTGTATTTGGTGCAAGAGAATTACTTAAGAGATAGCATTCATGTTTTCAATGAGTTCATCCCTACGCTAGGTAAGCTAGAAGTAGAGGATACAGAAAGAATTAACAACTAGTCCCTCCATGAAGTAACTTAGAATTTACTAGGGATGAGAAATGGAGAAATAGCATAATACAAAGCAGAATGCTAAGCCCCATGTTGATGGCAAACATTCATGACTTCTGGCTTTGAGGCTCTGTTAATTTAGGTAGCTAAGGTATAGGAAATTCCCTTGATCTCTTCTGCCTACTCTAAACACACTTACAGTTCTAAAGTTGAATGTTCCTATTTGGTGACTGAACTTTTGTTTTCAATTCAAGAAATAATTCCCTGTGAAGAAGGATTCATGTGGTTTAAAAGAATTATCAGAATAATATATTCTCTGCAACTCTCCCTTCTCCCAATTCCAAGCCACCTATCAAAAAGGAAAAGAAAGGTAAAGCAGCAACAGGTATGTAATGCCTAATTTACTTTTTACTTGAGATATTAGTTGAATAAAATCCTCAATATCTATCATCCTACACACCTAGCCTACCTAGTCATCTACCACATTGTGTTCAACAAGTCAAATAGGGATCTACTAGTACAATCATCATTGCCTTTCTTTGTCTGCATCCTCCATCATCCAAGGATGTCATAGTATCTTTCACTGGAGAGTGAAGAGGTGGTCTCTGTCTGGATAAATCCAGACAAATCACAATTAAAATTTGACAGAGCTCTCTAATTTTATCCAACACTACTTTATGTTTATTAGTGTGCAGAAATACACTAATTTGGAGATCTTTTTGACTGTTTGCAAGCTATCTTCTATAGGCAACTATATGCTAACTAAAAAATAACATGAGGAAGGTATTACACACCACTTTCAAGACATTTGCTATTTTACTGCATCCTGTTTTTCCCACATTATCTGCCCCCAAGTTGATCCTGCAAATTGCTGTCATGGTAATCATCTGAAAACTCTCACTTTTATTGTATGACTCCCACACAAAAATTCCACACTTCCACACTATAGTAATTCTCTATACTAGTCCTAAATTTTTATTGTTTCATTTACACATATTCCCTGACTAGCCTCTCCTTATCTGTCAATTTTATTCCCTCCCGAAGACCCTTGGCCCAGGTAGCCCTACACTCCAATATGCTACACTGCCTTTTTCCTTTCTCATCTTCCAATTATCCTTTAAAACCCAACTCAAGGCTGGGTGCGGTGGCTCATGCCTGTAATCCTAGCACTCTGGGAGGCTGAAGCAGAGAGGATCATTTGAGCTCAGGAGTTCGAGACCAACCTGAGCAAGAGTGAGACCCTGTCTCTACTAAAAAATAGAAAGAAATTAATTGGCCAGCTAAAAATATATAGAAAAAATTAGCCAGGCATGGTGGTGCATGCCTGTAGTCCCAGCTACTCAGGAGTCTGAGGCAGGAGGATCGCTTGAGCCCAGGAGTTTGAGGTTGCTGTGAGCTAGGCTGATGCCACAGCACTTCAGCCTGGGCAACAGAGTGAGACTGTGTCTCAAAAAATAAAATAAATATTTGGCCCCCTTGGATTAATAATAAAACTAATAGGTAACTTCTAAGCAGATACCATGTGTCAAGCACTTTTCCAAGTGGACTAGCTCATTTGGTAACCTTTTCATAGAGACAGGGTCTCATTCAATTGCTCAGACTGACTGGTCTTGAACTCCTGGCTTCAAGTGATCCTCCCACCTCAGCTTCCCAAAGTGCTAGGATTACAGGCAAGAGCCATCATACTCAGCCTCATTTGGTAATTTTATTATCTTGATTTTAAAGATGAGGAAACTAAAAGCATAGAAGTTTAAGTAATGGCCAGACACAGTGGCTCACACCTGTAATCCTAACACTCTGGGAGGCCAAGATGGAAGAACTTCTTGAGCTCAAGAGTTCGAGGGCAGCCTGAGCAAGAACAAGATCCTTGTCTCTACAAAAAAAAAAAAATAGAAAAATTAGCTGGGCATGGTCGTGTGCACCTGTAATCCCAGCTATTTCACTACTTTGAACGCTGAGGCAGGAGGATCACTTGAACCCAGGAGCTTGAGGTTGCAGTGAGCTATCATGACACCACTGCACTCTAGCCAGGGCAACAGAGCAAGACTCTGTCTACAAAAAAAAAAAAGGTGTAAGTAATTTGTCTAAGGTCACGCAGCTAGTTTTTTGGTAGACCCAAGATTGTGACAGGAGGAAGTCTGCTTATAATAGAGTGTGTACATATAATCATTACACAGTTATTAATAATTTGAGGTATGTCAAGGTGGGAAAATTCTACCTGTTCATTCATTTCACAAATATTTATTAAGTACATGCTGTCCAATAATATTGTGTCAAGTATGTGCCTGGCCACAAGAACATAGAAGTAAACAAAATAGGCATGACTCCTGCCCCCCAGAACAGTGTCAAATAGTGAGTGAATAATTAATTATTTATAACAACTTGCAGGTGCTACTACTAAAGATAAGAACAGGGTGCTATAAGACCAATATACTGTAGACACCCAAGCCACTTCAAGGAGATATTGTGAGAATAAATGACTGTTTTAAGAACTTCCTCCAGCTTGGACAACATAGTGAGACCCCATCTCTAAAAATAAAATAAAATAAAATAAAGAGCTGGGTATGGTGGCATATGCCTATAGTCCCAGCTACTCAGAAGGCTGAAACAAGAGGCTTCCTTGAGCCCAGAAGTTCTAGGCCATAGTGTGTTATGTTTGCACCTGTAAAAAGCCACCATGCTCCAGCCTGGGCAACATAACTAGACCTCATCTCTTGGGGGGGGGGGACTTCCTATTTCTTTCTTATTTCCTCAATATCTTTTTTCCCTTTCTACTAAATATTTTTCTCCAATTTTTTCTTTGTCTTCATTGCTCCTCTTCTAATTTGCATTTCAGCAATGACCTAAATCTGGCTTCTTGTAGGTTAAGCCCTCTTTAACACATTTGCCATCTGTTCTCCTTCTGGCTCTGAAGCTCAAGATTTTATCCTCTGGTAATTTTTCATTTAGCTAATCTTTATACAGCTTATAAACAGCTGTTTTAGTTGACAAGTCTTACATTTCATTATTAGAGGCTATTTTACTATCATAGTAGAAACTGACCTTTTGAGCAAACTTCTGGTGCTATAAAAATACTGTGTGAACTGCCTGGCCCACATATTTTCAGATATAAAATTATCTTTCACATAGTAATTACCTTTCATGTGATTGACCATTATAAAATTTAGCCAGGAGCTTTTTAAAACACAATTTGGAGACTTCTCTTAATGTCTGAGGACCATTTCTGATAAAATGATTCTTATCTTTGGTTACTTCCTATTCCACAACTCCACCCAAAATACTGACATCCTGTCATCTCAGTTTATATTCAGATACCTGAAACCTCAGAGCATATACCCCTGCTCACTTCCTCATTCTCCAAAGAAACACTGACTACCATTCACTTCTGGGGAGTCAAAAAATAGCACAGTAGGGGTCAAAGAAGGATAAATTTTGGGAATGTGAAGAAATGCTGAATTTAGGGCAATAATTTCACAAAGAAAGGTAAATCATATAGTGGCACACATTTGAATTGGCAAGTTTAATCAAAGGAGGAGAAGTCATTAAAATCCCATCTCTTTTGAGTCCTGAAAAACAAAAGATAGCTTTATTAAGCCTATGTGAGGAAGGTTGCCAATAACTAAATTGAATATCAGTTTTCAAATTTAAATTTAATGTAAATAAAATTGAGAGATGAAAATATCCTAAAACTGATTTATGGTGATGGTTGCAGTTAGTAAATTACTAAAAAATCATTGTAATATATAACTAAAATGAGTATTTGTAAAATATACTTCAATAAGGTTTTTTTTAAACTGGAGAAAACTAAAACAAAAAGGATATAACATTAAAAATTCAATTCCTTAGTCATACCAGCTACATTTTAAATAAGTAATAACCATAGGTGGCTAGTGGCTACTGTTTTGGACAGAAAAGTTCTAATATATAAAACTATCTTCCCACTCCTTCTTTTCCATGTTGTTAAATACTTTCTTAAATCTATTTCAGGATACTTACACTTAAAACAGACATATATAACAACCAAAATAGAAAACATGCAAAAATTTAATATCCTTAATACATCAAAGACTCCTAAAAGAAATATACAATAATAATAAATATTTTTTAAAGTTCAAGGCAAATAGCAATCAAAGAAATACAAACTAAAAGGACATGAATTTGTATTTTCATCTATGAAATAGATGTTTGAAAAAAACAATGCTTCTAATGTTATGATGAGAAGAAATGGATACTGCTGATAGTAGTGTAAACTGGTAGATCCTTTCTGAAGGTTACTTAAACAATTTGAAAATAAATGCCAAAGACCTTAAGAATGAGCATTCTCATTGACACAGCAATTATATTTCTAATAATTCATCTTAGAAAAATAATGATGAATGTAGTCAAGGATTTATCTTTCAAGATTTTTAATCCAATGCAGTTATTTTTTTCTTTTTTTGTTTTGTTTTTCTTTCTTTTCTGTTTTCTTATTTTTTCTTTAAGGAGAGAATCACACAGGAAGCAATGCAGTTATAATGGTAAAAAAGAAAAAACAATCTAAATGTTCATCGGTAGGGCATTGACTAAATAAATTATGGTATGTTTATAGAATAGAATATTAAGCAGTCATTTAAAGTTATGTAGTAGACTATTTAATAATATTTTTAAATATCAATTATTTATTATATATTGGTTATTGAAAAATAAAACTTTTAAAAAGTAAATGATTTGGAATAGTCAAACCTTAGGAACAGAAAGTAGAATGGTGGCTGTCAGAGGTTAGGGGAGGGGGAAATGAAGAGTTGTTATTTAATGAGTACAGAGTTTCAGTTTTGCAAGATGAGAAGTTTTGGAGATTGATTACACAACAATGTGAATATACTTAGCACTACTGAACTGTACACTTAAAAATGGTTAAGATGGTAAGTTTTATGTTATGTATATTTTACCACAAATATAACAATTATTAAATAAATTTTTAAAAATAAAATAATGATCCCATTTTTATTTTAAATATTATATATGCTTATATGCATATACACAGCAAAATGATAATGGTAGTTATATCTGGATGGTAGGATTACAAGTACATTTCATTTTTTTCTTTTGACTTCTCTGTTCATGTCCACCAGGAATATGTATTACTTTTGTAATCAGAAAAATGTTATAAAATAATATCTCCAACACCTTCTTAATGTCTGAAATTCCTTTAACATGGTACAAGTCCTTATATTCCATATTTAGAACTATATTAAGGCTGGTGAAAAAACATCAAATAGTCTAAATTCAGTCTAAGATGTTAGGGAAAACTAGATGCCTAAAAGCTATAGAGGCGGCTGGGTGAGGTGGCTCACGCCTGTAATCCTAACATTCTAGGAGGCCAAGGCGGGCGGATCACTCGAGGTA